CCTTGTCTTTTCCAGGTGGTGAGTACAGACAGTGAAGACTCAAGGAATGTTCCCAGAATTCCTCCTCTGAACAGAAACAGGAGACCAGGCTGCTGCAAGGGCCACAGGCTCTGTAAACAGGTATAACTAAGGTAGGGACCTCAGTTCCTGCAAACTGAGGAAAGAGATCTATCTCGTCCTAACTACAATCTTGACCTCACTCCACCATCAGTCCAAGCTTCACTATCATTTTTCTATATGATCTTAAGCAAATTACTTGACCTCCATAAAGCTTAAATATATAGGCTAGATGTAGGAAAAGGAGAAGTGCTATCTTCGTGTTGCAACTAAGCATAAAAAAACTACCACTGTAGACTATTAAAACAAGTTCAACAAAACATGACCATGGAACATCACTGCATAAAGGCTGCCTGCCTCAAGAAATGGAAAGAGAATTCACCTAGGTGTCAGGAGGCCTTCTGGATATACCTTTTATCAGTCGCATAGTGTTGGCCAATTTGCATCACTTCCTTGTGTTTTAGGGTCCTCAACTATAAAATGCGAAGATGAAACCAGAAGAACCCTAAGGCCTATTTTACTAACAAAATATTTTCAGTGTCCAGTATGTGCCACCCACTTTATACATACTATACCCTACAACAAGGATGTACGGTAACCATTATTATATCTATTTTATAAATGAGGGATTTGAAGCTCAGAGAAAGTACACCTGGCACTCGATCCTTGATCAGTCTGGTTTCAAAGCCTGTGCTATTTCACACTATAGTATTTTCCACTATGTATCTAGGAGGCTACGCTTACAGGGCCTTGCAAGTTTAAAGACACAGTCTCACAACTTAGGCCTAAACCAAGCCACCAAATCAGCAGGGAGAAATGCAGAAAATTATATACAACTAAAAGAAGGCAGAGAGGAGGGAAGAAAAAAAGAAAAAGAATGGTAAAAAGAAAACATAAAATTAGTATCTATGATAACTGTAAATGGAATAAATTACCTACTAAAAAGGCTGTTATGTCATTAAGGACCCTCTTTCTATCTTCTGCATGGTTCTACGTAAGGTCAGAGAATAGTTGCTAATACAATAGGAGCTACTTGCTTTCTCATTCAAATCTGACAAGAGAAAGATATATTTTTTCTGAGTATCTCAAGCAAGGGTCCTGAAATTCACCAAAATAAGACTTCTTGGGTTACACTCCCACTCCTGAATCAATGACTATGGCCAGGGAAGTAAAATGGCTTAAGCCAATGATGGCCCAATTATTAAAATACTGTTGTCTTCGACAGCCTCTCCCCTTTCTTCCTACTTCACTGGCTTTGCTTCCTTATTCTCCCTTACTGACTCCCAAGGCCAGCTTCAAGAGTGTGTGCAAGTGCAGTCATACAAGGAACCACTCTTCATTTAATGCTCTGCTGTCACCATCTTGAAATTCTAAGTAAGTTATAAACATTGGGCCCCACATTTTCATTTTGCACTAGGTTCTGCAAATTATGTAGCCAGTCCTGTTAACTACTCCTCTCTCCAGTCTGTCTTGGAAGTACCTGTAGTGTTGGTCCTGGACTCTCTTTCTTTCTTTTATCTATGTTCATGCTTATGTGAATCATTGCTAAGGCTTTAAATGCTCTCCCTATGATAATAAATCCTAAAGATACTATTCAGCTCAGATATCGCCACTGAGCACCATCCGCTCACATCCATCTTGTCATCTTGATAACTTAACTTGGATATCTAACGGGTACCACAAACAGTATATAAATTATGGATCTTTTCATTTCTTCCCTTCTCAAAATATCTGCCCTATCCCATGAGTGCTCACCACACTCAATCTTCTTGGGTAAACTTTTACCATCTGCCTTTCCTGACTTGAAGCATTTGTGCTTCTTATTCCTTCTATCCACTGGAAAGTTGTACCAATTTACATTCCTGCAAGCAATCTATCAAAAGGCCCATTTATTCACACCCTGACCATGACAGGGTATTTTTTTTCTAGTTATTTGATAGGTGGAAAAGTGGTTTATTATTTTGTATTCCTTCAGTTATTAAAAGGGTCAGTGAATTGACGTTTGCCTTTCTTCTTTGGACTTCCTAGTTCTACATGTCCATTTTCTCTAGTGGAATAACATTAATTTGTTAAGAGTCCACTATATATTAAAAATATATATCAATTGTCTTAATAAAAGTGTTAGAACAAAGCTAGTACAAGGAAGGACAAATCATTGAGGTCTCAAATTAAGGTAGAAGCAACAGGAATGTCCTTGGCTCTGGGAATATAATGATATAAAGTATTACAGGCAAAGGGGAAAATCAGGTACAAATACTTTGCTTAGGAATTGAACTTTGAATGTCTGTGTTGCTGACGGGTCCCTATGTGGTTGCCTCTTGCGCATCATGACTGAATGAATTCCATACAGACATGGGTTAAGAAATGGGCTTTATAGTAAGACAGGGTCAGTAAGAACAGAATAGGCAGGTGCCCCCATCCTGTCACAGAGAAGCAGGCCATGGCCAGGGACTCTGGCACAGTTGAGACCCAGTTGAGGGAGCTTGCCTGTTTCTCCCTTCATATGAAAGAAAAGTCAAGTGCAACAAAGCAGCTTTATCAAGCTGGATGACTGATGTCAGTCTGGTTTGGGGTTGACTTAGACTAGTTACTAGTGAAAATGAGAAGTTGTCAATGTATATATTGACAGTAGACCCAGCACACTTGCTGATAGAGTGGATGTGGTAAAAAGAGGAAAAGAAGGGAATCAGGGATGACTCCTGGGTTCTGTTTTGAGCACCTGGCAGACAGTGGAGAATTTGAGTAGGATTAGAGAAGACTAGGGGAAGAAACTAGGATTAGATAACGCTGAGCTTCAAATGCCAGTGTCGAAGAGAACAGTAGTCACTGATATATGAAGTTTAGTAGAAATGGAGAGATAAGTATAGAAATGAATTCCATTTCTGTCACATCGTGTTTGAGAAAGAGGAGTGTCCCAGAAGTACTCAGGATGTAACTGGTATCGTTTCAATTCAACAGCCTTCAGAAAAGTAAAGTTCGAAGGCAAGATTCAGAACATTGATTCGAGAACACAAAATTTATTTCCAGTGTGAAGACCACAGCTATACTTCTAGAATCATCTATTTTCACCAACAATCCCAGTTTTCTCTATAACTGCTAGTGTTAAGTCCTCTGATCCCTCACTTCAACCTGCAGAGGCAATATCACAGGCTGTGAACCTATTTCTATTTAAATAGGAAGGAAAGTTTACATAAATAACCTAGCCAATCTAAGATCTTTTCTGTGACTATTCCTTACCAAAATACATTCATTGAGCAATTACCACGTACCAAGGACTGTGCTAAATGCAACATACGCATTATCTCATAACTCACCTTCACAATAACCCTACAAGACAGTCACAGCACTACTACCCTGATCCTCACTGGGATTAGAACTGAGACAATCCAACCACACTGGTTTTAAAGGTGGCAACCCTCTCATTCCAATCGTACTGATCACAATTCCTGGCCCACTGGAGATCACTAAATAGAATGAACTGAATGAGTTAATATACATGGTCTTTAATTTCCTCTCGAACTAAGAAAAACTATTTCAAAATAGAAACAAAATGTAAGTAACTGCTTATAACTGCTTCTTCCCCCTTGGTTAGGAATTTAAAGGGTTGACACAAAGGCCGCTTGCCTCCAGAAAAAAGACTGCCAATAATCACTAAGAGAGGGACTCAGGCCAGAATGAGGTAACCGTGGCTTCACTGTCTTTAAATAAGTTATTTCAATATCAGTGTTTTTCTCCATAAATGAACTGGGCAGAATCAATTGTTATCTGGGAAAATCATGTAATTATTAAAATGTCCTAATTCTACTACAGTTTTAGCTTTGGGAAAATTCAACTTATTTTAGATATAAATCAGGAATGTTTACTTTAGGGGGAAAAATGCTTAGAGCCTCCTCACTGTTTCATTATCCCTCTCCTATACCCATCACTTACTTTTCTTCCGTCAGAGGCACTCCCTGCTACAGCCGGATGAACTACTTTAGTAATTTAACAACCTCTCAGGCTTCATTTGCTTGGTTGTAACCAAATCTTTCGCTGCCTCGTCTTAATCAGACCGCATTCTCTTTTGCTACTTTTGACCATTTAAAAAATTTTTTCAGCTCCACTAGTCATTTTAAAGCATGCAAATAATTATGAAATTAAGTAAATGATTTGTCAGCCAAGTGATTAAGTGTACCACGCAGCATTCTAAGAGCTTTTACACCTCAATCCTCAAAACCATGTACATTACAGGTAGAGAAACGGAGGCCAAAAAGGTTAAAATCATCAGCACAGGAGCTTGTGTTAAACTGCAAAGATACGAGATTTTCTGGCAATAAATATCTTTATTATGACTGTTTTAATGGTTAAAACTTGCATGTTTCCTAAAGTAGTCTGTAACAGGATAAAAAAAATTACAAAAAGACAAGCTTCTTAAGGTTTCATTTGAATTAACTATAAAATTAAAATACCTGTTATTTAATATTTTCTAAAATAACACGAAATGTATTCAATATGTAATATAAACCTCAATAATATAATTCTATTACGCAATTATTTACAAACTGAACTAAAAATATTTAGCTAAACAGAGAAATTAAAAAACAAGTTCTCAAATAATTTTATCCTAAGTAATCTATTCTTCGGAGTAGAAATACTCATTTCGTACAATATGCTCATTATATCAATTTTTAGTTGCACTTTGTTGGTGTTAAATTTAGCCCAACTTAAAATTCCTGTGTACCTGGAAAATACAACTATTCTTTTTAAAAGCTATTCAGAATTTATAACAGGGTTTAATAATTCAGACTGATCCCACCCTTATTTTAAAAATAATTTAGATATTCCTTTTTTTGATAAGTGGAACTTCTCATTAACAATGTAAAACATTTTCCTTTCTAAACTGTATACTTTTATTCAGTTATTTATATAACACTGTTATAAACTAGTAAGCAAAGCAAGCAACATTACTTTTTTTAAATAACATCTTTAATTAAAGTTTTTGCAAAGGTAAAATATTAAACTTAAAATAGGTCTTAGTACATCAAAATACTAAGTTCTCTAATTGTATTCCAAGATGGTCTTTAAAACATAATATCCCATATATCACAGAAGAGCAACCTTGATCTGCAATTGTACAGAATGAATTATACAAACATAATAAATATATTTACGCCCTTACACATAACAGTATGTACAACAGCAGTTGACAATAGTAGCTCAGAACAGCAAAAAGGATTAGTCCCTCCCCCAAATTGTAGCCCTGACACATACTGGACTGATTTAAGAAACCTTGACTAAAGTATTTATTAACTAGTGAAATAGTAACTTAATAGTTACTAATAGTTAGTAGTTACTAACTCAATGCAGTTCTTCCCTTAAAAGAGAAGGAAAAAAGTTTCTCTTGTTTCTCAAAATAAACAAAAATATTAAGTTTGGTGTGTTCTTCTTTAAATCATAAAAAATTACAAAACATAGACTAAGGCAGGTTTAAAAGGGAAATATAAACTTCAGAATAATTTCCATAGCATAATAGATTAAAAGGCAAAACTAACATAAACAAATGAGGAAATACATAAAGCAACTATTTTTTAACCAATGAACTCAAAATCTGAAATAGCTGATTCAGACAGATAGGTGGGAAACAGACATATGAAATAAAATGAAAAAGTACAAAGATGGATCAATAAAATAATACATTGCACAAAATCTCAAATAAGTTGAAATAATCTGAAAATATAGGAATTTTCTCAAGAGGAAGAAAATGCTAGGTCATAAAGGGAACTCCCAAGATGAAATTATGTCTGCTTTCCTGCACAAGGGGTATTTACCTTCTGAAAAGAATGGTGACGTTATTGCTATAAGATAATCAAAAATTACTCTTAGAGGAGACAACTCTTTTCATTCCTCCATAAAAGCCAGAAGAAATAAGAAAACCAAATCCTTGATTTTCACTATAGCAAAAGAAAATCTTTATACAAAAGCTATTATATTTTTATGTTCTTGATGTCTAAAATCAGAATCTATTAGAATATGTTCTTCGAGAACACATTTTAATCACAATACACACTGCTCAAATCTTGACGTATTCCTAGAAGAATAACATCAAGGTGGCTTTAAGAGGCAACAATATAAATGTGATATTATGACAGCATTTAATTAACAGAAAGAAATGTGAACATTTAAAAAAATATAAAAGCCCAATATAAAGATCCCCCCTCCTATAACAGATATTTTACTCTAGAATCTAATTGCACATTGAAGAGTTGTTTTAGCCAAATGTGGCTCTCCGCAGAAATTAAATGTGCTCTCAAGCATTCATATGGTCTGATTCTACAAATGACCACCAAAGTAAGAGTACATATACTGAAAGGCACACATTTCCACATTTTATCAAGTAATTTTGTGTAAATTTTCCTTAGCACTATTAACATTAATCTTTTTTAAAATAAAAGGTGCCATCACCATCTGTGCAAATCTAAACAAATCCTCTTCTGAAACCTTTACCTATTTTCATAATACCATGTCTGAACTATTTTCCCTCTTTGAATGAACATATTTTCATTTTAAAATTCTGAAAGTGGGAATCCTTGCCTTTTCAAAGGAATGACATTTTTATGGAACCTAATGAAATGATTTGTTAAATACAATGTTAAAAGCATGATTAAGAATTCAAGTACAATAAAAGATAAGCAAGTGGCATTCTTATAGCAAGCCACCATACTAAAACTAAAACATGCTATTTGATTAAAAAGGAACACAATGCAGTAATATAAGAGCACAAATTTGATATGCAGTGTTGTTTGGACTGGCTTTCAGAATTTTCACAGGTAAAAAAAAAGCATTTGCCAAGTATGTCATAATTAATATGCAATACACAGGTACAAATACAAATAGTTATTTCCTGCTTCAACATAACCCTAGTGAATCACTCTGAAAGCAGTGGTTGTTCATGTTTGAAAATAATGTTATAAAAACAGGCCAGTATACAATTCTACTATGAATACGAACGTCTACATAGAGGGTCCAAAACATGAGCTGAATATAATATAATAATACAAGATTCAGTAGCATAAGAACTACTAGATAACCAAAGGGTTTCAATCAACACTGCAGCACTGCTAAACTTTTATAGGTAGTTCAGGTCATTAACTCTCCATTGGGTAAACATAAACCTACGATCAACTATACTAGAGGACAACTGAATGACAAGACTGCTGTGATTTTAACTCCCTCCCTTCTCTTTTCTCAGCCTCAATAAACACACACACACACACACACACACACACACACACACACACACACACCCCAAAAACAACAAAAACCTGTATGTGCTTTGAGAGTAGTGGGGTACACAAATGAATTTCCCCTCCAAAAACCTAAAATAATATAGTAAAAATAAAAACCGTATTACCAGTTATGGCATCTAAAGAAAACCTAACTACTAACATGCTAGAAACCACCATTTACACCAAAGTTCAGAACATAAGTTAAAGGGATCAAGTTGGTATGTGGGGTGGGAAGTAGGAAAAAAAACTGATTAGCTTTTTTAGAAGTTTAAAAATTTGCGTTAAAAAAAGAAAAAATATGTAATAGCTCACAGTTTTTCTTTGCAATGTACTTTAAAGTGTTTCTATGTTACTTCTGGAAACACATAAAGGCAAATAAAAGGAAAACAAAAATGGAAGACAAAAAAATTCAATATACAAAAGTAACTTAAACACATACGAATTTTGTCAAGATAAACCATGAAAAGAATGAGTTGTAAGAACACAAAAGTGAAGACAAGTGTTCATACATTTCTCCCAGGTGACTTGTTCACACTGAACACAGCACTGGCATATTGTATTTTAGAGCCCCTTACAGAATACAGAGCTATGCATTCTTAATATACATATTAAGTTTCCATTACTTTTAATATAAGTCAAATTTATATGCTTTCTTCCCGATGTGCAAACTGGAGCCCATGTCTATATTACCAGTGGCCTGGATGGGCCACCAAATCAAAGAGAGGTAAAATGTACTTAGTGGCCCACCCCTCCCTCCAACCCCAAAATAACCCCTCAAATTACAAAGTTGCATTTAAAAAAATCTGTTCAATTAAAATAATAGTTTTAAAATTCTTTACTAGTAAACACAAGAAACTTTTATAATTACTAAATTGTTTAATAAAAATCCAGGTCCTTACCACCTGCCCAATAATTCAGTCCATGTACAGAATGTTATTTGAACGTTTGTTTAGCTTAAAGACTAAACACATATACGCATATACTTCAGCGGAACAAGAAAAAAATCAGTATCTATTCGTGTGTATATAATTTCAACTAGATGGTACCTTTGTTAAATAAAACTGTATTCCTGAGGTGCCACTTGGGGTTTCTTTTTAAGGTGTGGGCCTAAAAGAAACAAGTACAATTTTTCTGTAAGGAAACTGAAGTTGTCATTTTAATTCTGCTCAACTCAGACAAGACCCAAGTTTAATGAGTATGAAAACCTAATTAAAATATCCATTCCTGGGTCAAATTTTGTCTATAAACTGTGATCGCTGATTTCTTCCTTTAATTCTTAAGTAGATGTTTTATAAAGCAGGGAAGGAAGAGGTATGTATTACTGAGGGAAAACAGCAAGTAAAAATATTTTAAGACCTATTATAAGCTCTAAACTGTTTCCTTGTACAAGTGATTAAAATTCAACACCATAATTCTTGCCCTTTTGCAAAAAGCCCACACACAATTTTTACCAAATATAACCACATACAATGAGCAGTTTCATTTCAACCTATCAAAAGGGAATTTTCTTCAGTTCATTCCAACAAGTATTTTCTAATTGAACCCAAGTTGGAGGAAGGGATATAGACAAAGCTTTACATGCTAATTACCAGTGGCAGGTACCTGTATTTAAAATCAACAAGTATGGTTTTCCTACACACACCCCCCACCCCGCCCCAACAACCCCAGGTGCTACAGTTCCATGGCTTGCCAGTTAGAAGTAGTGTCTATGTTGTCAAAGTCTCTTTGTTCCAGTAGCTTTGCTTCTACTGCACTTTTCTGACATGCAGAAGTTAAGTTTTGGTTGATGTACGTCCCAAGTTTCAAACTGTCCACTTTAAATTTTTTTAAAGTTTCTTTTGTTTTATTTATAAAAGAAAAGAACCAACTCTTCACCATTCTGCATCTCCAATGGCTTTGGAAAATATATAATCTCTTCCATTAAGATTCATAATACCATCCTTGAGATGAAATTTCCATTTGTTTTTACTTCTGTGTATCTAAATAAATTTAAAAAAAAAAGAATGTAAGAAATACAATTAAAAGACTGAGGAAACAAACTACAAAAAGATCCATTCACACACCAAAAAAACTGTCCCATACATTATAGCATTTGCAAATTGTTTTTTTAATTGATATGATCAATATGTAATATTACTTCCAGATTTATAACATGATTATTTTTATATACTGAGAAATGATCACAATAAGTCTAGTTAACATTCATCACCACAGTTGTAATTTTCTTATAAGAACTTTTAATATTTACTCTTAGCAACTTTCAAAAACACAACACAGTAACTAGAGTCACCATGCTAAACATTGTATCTCATGACGTAACTGGAATTTTCTACCTCTTGACCACCTTTACCCATTTCACTCACTCTTCCCACCCCACCTTTTCAATCATCAATCTGTTCTCTGTAACTGGGTTGTTTGTTCTAGATTCCATATATAAATGAGACCATATGGTATGTGTCTCTCTGACTTAAGTTCATTTAGCATGATGCCCTCAAGGTCCATCTATCCATGTTGACAAGATCTCATTCTTTTTTATGGCTGAATAATATTCCATTATATTTTTCTTTATCCACTCATCCATTAATAGACACTTAAGTTGTTTTCATGTCTTCGCTACTATAAATAATGCTGCAGTAAACATGGGGTATCAAGTTAGTGATTTTGTGTCTTTCAAGTAAATACTCGGAAGCAAAATTACAAGATTACATGGTACTTCTCTAAGGTAATAGTTCACTGTAGTTTTGATTTGTAGTTCCCTGATGATTAGTGATGTTGAGTACCTTTTTATGTACCTACTGGCCATTTGTATGTCTTCTTTGGAAAACTGTTCAGGTCTTCTGCCCATTTTTAATCAGATTGCATTTTTGCTATTGAGTTGAATGAGTTCTTTATGTATTTTGGATATGTTAACCCCTTATAAGATATATGTTCTGCAAATATCTTTTCCCATTTGGCAGGTTGCCTTTTCAATTCGTTGATAATTTGCTGTGCAGAAGCTTTTTAATTTGTTGTCTCACTTGATTATTTTTGCTTTTGTTGCTTTTGCTTTTGGTGTCAAATCCAAAATAAATCATCACCAAAGCCAATGTCAAAGAGCTTACCACCTATGTAATCTAGGAATTTTTCATCCATTTTGAGTTAATTTTTGTGTATGGTGTAAGATAGTGGTCCAGTTTCCCCAACACCATTTATTGAAGAGACTTTCCTTTCCCTATTGTGTATTCTTGTCTCTTCTGTTCTAACACATATGGATGGGTTTTGTTTGTGGGCTCTTTTCTGTTCCATTTATCTATGCGTGTTTTAATGTCAATACCATACTATTTTGATTACTCCAGCTATGTAATATAGTTTGAAATCAGGAAAGGTGATGACTCACTCCAGGTTTGTTTTTCTTTCTCCAGACTGCTTTAGCCTTCATTTGTTCTTTTTCTAGTTAAGATGTAACTTTAGGTTATTTGGGACCATTCTGGTTTCTTGAGATAGGCTTGTAGTCATATAGATTTCCCTCTTAATACTGCTTCTGCTGAATCCCAAAAGTTTTGGAATGTCATATCGTCATTCTCATTTGTCTCTATGTATCTCTTGCTCTCTCTTTTTATTTCTTCTTTGACCCTGTTGTTCTTTAGTAGCATGTTGCTTAATCCCTACATATTTGTGGGGTTTCTCACTTTCTTTTTGCAGCTGATTTTTAATTTCAAAGCACTGTGCTCAGAGAATACACTTAGTATGATTTCAATTTTCTTAAATTCGTTGAGGCTAGTTTTGTGTCCCAACATACAGTCTATCCTTGACAGTGTCCTATGTGCACTGGAGAAGAAATATAGAATATGGTGTTCTGGGATGAAAAGCTCTGTAAATGTCAATTACGTTCATTTGGTCTAACATGTCATTTAAGGCCGATATTTCTTTATTGATTTTCTGTTTGATCTACCCAGAGCTGTCAATGGGGTATTTAGGTCTCCTACTGCAATTGTGTTTTTGTCAAGTTTCTCCATTTAGTTCTGTTAGTAGCTGCTTTATATATTCTGGTGCTCCCTGATTGAGTGTATATATACTGATTAGTGTTATGTTGTCTTCAACACATTATAAATGCCCATCTTTGGCTCTTGTTACCTTTTGTTATCTTGAAATCTATTTTGTCAGATATAAGTACAGCTACACCCACTTTTCTCTGAATGCCATTTGCTTGGAGTATCATTTTCTACCCTATATTTGTCTTTGCAGCTGAGATGTGTCTCTTGAAGGCAGCGTATGGTTGGGTTTTAGTTTTTGATCCAATCCTCTACTCTATGCCTTTTTATTGGTTAATTCAGCTCATTTACATTTAGGCTCATTACTGATGCATAAGGATCTCCTACAACCATTTTAGCTTTTGTTTTCTGGCCAGGACAACACAAAAAAAGATAGCTACAGACCAATATCTCTGATAAATACAGATGCGAAATCCTGAACAAAATACTAACAAATCAAATACAACAATACATTAAAAAGATAATATATCATGATTTAGTAAGGTTTATTTCACACACAAGCATGTGTGGTTCAACACACACAAAGCAATGTGATACACCACATTAACAAAATAAAGGATAAAAATCATATGATCTTATCAACAAATGCAGAAAAAGCATTTGACAAGACACAACATCCATTTATGATTAAAACACTCAATAAAATGGGTATAGAAAAAAAGTACTTCAACATAATAAAGTATATATATGGCAAATCCTCAACTAAGATACTCAATAGTAAAAAATTAAAAGCTTTTCCTCTAAGATCAAGAACAGGACAAGGATGCCCACTCTCACCACTGTTATTCAACACAGTATTAAAGTCCTAGCCAGAGCAATCAGGAAAGAGGAAAAAAATCAAAGGCATCCAAACTGGGAATGAATTAGTAAAATTGTCACTTTTTACAGATGGCATGACTCTCTATATAGAAAACTAAATACTCTACACAAAAAACTATTACAAACCATAAACAAAGACAGTAAAGTTGCAGAATACAAAATAAATGTAGAAAACTCCATTGTGTTCCTATATCCTATCAATAAAATTTCAGAGAAAGAAAAAAACAATTCGTTTTGCAATTGTAATAAAAAGAATAAAATATCTAGGAATAAACTTAAGAAAGGATGTGAAGGACCTATACATTAAAAACTACAAGAATTTATTAAGGGAAACTAAAGACACACAAAAAAATGGAAAGATTGGAAGAATCAACATAATTAAATTAACTATATTACTAATCATGCTAAGCAAAATCAGTCAGACAGAAAAGTCAAGAACCATATTTCACTCATGTGAAAGTAACAAATGAACAAACAAGAACGCATAGACACAGATGATAATATGGTGGTTTCCAGAGAGAAAGGCGGTAAGAGGAGTCAAATATGTAACGACATTTTGACTTTGAATAGTGAACACAATGCAATATACAGCTGATATATTATAGAATTGTATACTTGAACCCTACATAGTTTTATTAACCATTGTTCTCCCAATAAATTTAATAAAATTTTTAAATAATGTAAAAAAAGAAATTGCTTCGGCTATTTGGAGTCTTTTGTGGTTCCATGACTGTTCTGTATCTGTGAAAAATGTCACTGAAGTTTTGATAGAAACTGCACTGAATCTGTAGATTTGGTAGTATGGACATTTCAACAATATTAATTCTTCCAATCCATGAGTATGAAATATCTTTCCATTTATTATTTGTGTCTTCAATTTCGTTCATCAACATCTTTATAGTTTTCATTGTACAGGTCTTTCACCTCCTTAGTTAAATTTACTCTTGGATATTTTATCCTTTTTGACGCAATTGTAAATGGGGCTGTTTTTCTTAATTCTCTTTTCTGATAGTTATTAATGTATAGAAATACAACAGATTTTTGTATATTGATTTTGTATCTTGCAACTTTACTGATTTTTTTAGTTCTGTTTTTTGCTCAAGTCTTTAGGGTTTTCTACATTTAATATCATGTAATATGTGCATAGTGACAGTTTTATTTCTTCCTAATTTGGATGATTATTTCTTTTTCTTCCCCAATTGCTCCTGCTAGAAATTCCAATGCTATGTTGAATAAAAGTGGCGACAGCAAGTAGGCATCCTTATCTTGTTCCTATTTACCACAAAAACTTTCAGCTTTTCACCACGGAGTATATTTGCTGTGGGCTTGTCATATATGTCCTTTATTATGTTGAAGTATATGTTTCCTCTACACTCAATTTGTTGAGAGTTTTTAATCATAAATGAACACTGAATTTTGTCAAATGCTTTTTCTGCATCTATTGAGATGATCAGATGACCTTCATTCTTCATTTTTTAAATATATTACATTGACTTATTTGTGAATGCTGAACCATCCTTGCATCCCTAGAATAAATCCCACATGGTCATGGTATATGATCCTTTTAAGTGTACTATGGAATTTCAGCTTGTTAATATTTTGTTGAGGATTTTTGCATCTATGTTCACCAGGGATATTGGCATGTAATTTTCTTTTCTTGTGCTGACCTTGTCTGGTTTTGCTATCAGAGGAATGCTGGCCTTGTTAAAAGAGTTTAGAAGTGTTCCCTCCTGTTGTTTTTTTTTTGAAGACTTTGAGAAAGATTAGTATTACCTCTTCTTTGAATGTTTGGTAGAATTCACCAGTGAAGCTGCCTGGTCCTGGACTTTTGTTTGTTGGGAAATTTCTAATTACTGATTCTATCTCTTTAAAGAGATCAGTCTGTTCAGATTTTCTATTTCTTCATAGTTTAGTTTTGAAAAGCTGTGTTTCAAGAAATTTAATTTCCTTCTAGATTTCTATTATGTTGCCACATAATTGTTCATAGTGGTCTTATCATCTTTTACATTTCTGTGGTATCAGTTGTAATATTTGATTTTATGTGCGTCTCCTCTCTTTTCCTAGTGAGTCTAACTAAACTTCTAGCAACGTTATCTTTTCAAAGAACCAGCTCTTAGTTTTACTGATCT